TGAGGAGCACAGGGACTGGACTCCTGCTGGGACTCTGAGGAGCACAGGGACTGGACTCCTGCTGGGACTCTGAGGAGCACAGGGACTGGACTCCTGCTGGGACTCTGAGGAGCACAGGGACTGGACTCCTGCTGGGACTCTGAGGAGCACAGGGACTGGACTCCTGTTAGTGCCCAGAGTCAGCACTAAACATGGGGAGGCTGCTTTTCAGATTCATGCTGCTAAAATCTGCTAACAATCTTCCTGAGAATGTGAGACAGGCCTCCTCTCTGACAATGTTTAAAACCAGGTTAAAACAGTTCTCTTTAGCTGTGCATACAACTGAGGGAATTTATTTTTACTTTTTAATGTACTGTTATTATTCATGATTTCAATGCCTTGTATTGTTCCTATCTAGTTTGGTTCAGCACTTTGAGTTGCCTTGTGTATGATCTGTGCTATACAAATAAGCTTGCCTCGCCTAAATGGCCTCAGCGTGTCCTTTGTGTTTGTGGTGTTCTGGTCCGTCTTATATTCTCATAATCATAATAATTATTCAGAAGTGAGTCCATGATGAAAATAATTTAATTTGTTCTCCACATGGCGTGTAATCAGACGTTAGTGCTTCAGAACGGCTCAAAAACAGAACCATTACTGACCAGGCGTCAAACAATCACACAAGCACGGACTTTTTTAAAACATGTACAGCGGCCTCTCCTTTTGCAATACATTCTAAAAATAAATCTGCAATGAGCAAAATCCGCGAAGTAGCAGCAATGTTTTAACTCCGAGACTCCCAGAACTCTGAAACTACAAGAACTCCAATGGAAATCTGAGAAATTCCCTCAAAGAATGTTTTGATTTGAACCAGATTCATTAAAGGAGCTATGCCCGTTTCTGCAAGGGTTGAATGTTTAGCCCCGCCCCCAACTCGCTCACAGGCTTCTCATTTCCCCTACGCTCTCCTCCCACGGAGCCATCTAGTTTTATTTGCGACATTATGCAAACATTAGCATGAGCGCAACTTCTTGTAAGCTGTACAACAATCACTGATGAAATGGTGCAAAAGCAATGCACTGCTAGCACAATATATAACTGAAAGATTACTGCTGGTTTCACGTCCGAATGTGGTCTGAGCGTAGATAGTCCAAGCATAGATAGTCCGAGGATAGATAGTCCGAGCGTAGATAGTCCGAGCATAGATAGTCCGAGCGTAGATAGTCCGAGCGTAGATAGTCCGAGGATAGATAGTCCGAGCATAGATAGTCCGAGGATAGATAGTCCGAGCGTAGATAGTCCGAGCATAGATAGTCCGAGGATAGATAGTCCGAGGATAGATAGTCCGAGCGTAGATAGTCCGAGCATAGATAGTCCGAGCGTAGATAGTCCGAGCATAGATAGTCCGAGCGTAGATAGTCCGAGCGTAGATAGTCCGAGCACAGATAGTCCGAGGACAGATAGTCCGAGGATAGAGAGTCCGAGCATAGATAGTCCGAGCGTAGATAGTCCGAGCGTAGATAGTCCGAGCATAGATAGTCCGAGCGTAGATAGTCCGAGCGTAGATAGTCCGAGCGTAGATAGTCCGAGCGTAGATAGTCCGAGCGTAGATAGTCCGAGCGTAGATAGTCCGAGCGTAGATAGTCCGAGCGTAGATAGTCCGAGCGTAGATAGTCCGAGCGTAGATAGTCCGAGCGTAGATAGTCCGAGCGTAGATAGTCCGAGGCGGTCCCGCAGGTCTCTCCCATAGACCAGTCTCTCCAGAGGATACGATGTAAGCTAACTATGTTCACCCGGGCTTGGTTTCTTCTTTGATTATTTTTTGGCTTTAGTTCCCTCTTCTCTTCCTCACTGTCGTGTGGTTTGAGCTGTTTTGCTGTGTTTGCAGTTACAGCCAGAGAAGTTATAGCCACTTATGCTAACATGCTACTGTGTTTAGCACAGTGGGGGCGGGTCCCAGCTCAAAAGTGGCCAAAATGACGTGCGCTGACATGCTGCAATACCACCTCAGGCCGTTGGGGGTGGACCCAGAAGAAGAATTAGCCAATGCTAACATATAGCATTGGCAGACCTCTCAAAAACGTCTTTACAGGATGGACCAAAAGTTGGCTCTTGGCCCAAAGCTCCGTTCCACATTTGTGTCAATGCTGAGGGGGGTGGATTTTTTTGGTCCACTCTAGTTTACTTGCTGTGAATTTGTTAAGTCTCTCGTTCAAATGAATGGAGTTGCGCCGGCTGACGCATGCGCAGATGCGTTTTTCCACAATTTTCTTGTGGGCGGGACCACTCGCGGCCATCTTGGCTTGCTCCATGAAAGCACTTTTCATGGCCAACTCCTATGAACGGCGGAGATAGGCGTGACTCTGTCCGTTATTATATACAGTCTATGGTTTAGCAGCGCTGTAGAGGCTAGAGGACGCAGCCTCGTTCTGTGATTGAAGGAGAAAGGGCGTCTCTACTCAGCACTTTTTACGGCCTGAATTCATACACAGCTGAATCAATGAGCTCAAGTTTTCAATGAAATTACGGATTATAATACAACTTGTATGTAAGCATTTTATGAACTCAAAAGTAAAAAAAATCAGGTACTTTATAATTTTTTCACTTTTTCACTTTTAATAAGTGCTACAACCGGTCATTATCACTGCGTCCAAAATACGTCAAAAAAGGCTAATGCTAAATTCTGACAGTAAACAGTTTGTAGAATTACTCACATTTCATACATAAAAGGAATAATGACATAGAAATAAACTACATAATGATACAGAAAAAGTCAGAAAGTTATGAAGACCATGAATGCACATGAAATGAATAATTACATTTCCAAAACTAAAACCCGTCAAATTGACTGCTCTGGGAGTTCTGCGTCAAGGGTGTGAAACAGTACGTTGTTGGGTGTTTTGCTGCGGAGGGGACTGGAGCAATCAACAAAAAGAAGATTGATATGAATATTTATTATATCTTAATCAACATTTCAAGTCATCAAAAAGGTCCATGAGCACGTGCGCTGACATGCTGGAATGCCACACCGGGCCTGTGGGGGTGTACCTGGACGGAGAATTACCCAATGCTTATGTACGGTGTCCTCTTTCCTCTTGAAAACGACTTTACGGCTTGGTCCAAAAGTCGGCTCTTGGTTCAAAGCTACATTCCACATGTGTGTCAATGCTGAGGGGAGTACATATTATTTGGACCAGTCTAGTTTAGCCGCTGTGGACTTTTGAAGGCACTCGTTAAATGAATTGGGCTCATGCAGCTAACACATTAGTTTCAACGACAGAGATAGGTGTGGCTACGTCTGATAATATTTACAGTCTATGGGTCGCACACACGGTCAGGGGCATCACTTTTCTTTACTCATCAATTTTAATTATAATTTGAACAATGTCAGAATGTGTTAATATAGAGCCACATGTGTCGACTGTCCCAGACCCTCATGCTGCTAACACGTACAGATGTAAACATGCAACTAGACATTTCTTGCACTAGAATATACAGTCTTTTCTGATTGCATCTTGATTATGGTAATTTTTGAGATTTTGAACTTACTTCTTATTTTGCCATAGTCAGAAATGTTATACTTGACAAAACTCTCTGGTCTGATTTGACGAGCACCATATCATATCATATCACCAGAATGACATTTGGGCGGACCAATAGTCTTGATGATCCACCCGGAAGTAGAAAATCCTCCTAGCTTTCTAGCTTCTATGTAATGCTTAAGCTGGAGATTTTAGACTTGCCTTTTTATTCTTACTAGACTTAGAGATATTATTTTACTATAGAGTAATTGTTCATTTATCTTATCTAGCTGTGAGATATCTTGTGTTCTGTGACTGCAACACTGAAATTCCCCCACTGTGTAACGAATAAGGGATCATTTGATCACATATACTTACATCAGTTCTGTCAAGAGGAATGGGCCAAACTTCTACCAATCTACTTTCAGAAGCTTATGGAAGGCGTCCCAAAATGTTTTCTGCAAGTAGTATAAAGGCAATCCTGCAAAATATGACTCTTGTGTGTGTACTGCTCTGACCCAAGGTGTGATGTTACGAATAAAAGCTCAAAAACACTACATTTCAACTCATTGAGGCCGAGCATTTTCATTTGGAAATGTGTTTCTCTTATATTATTTTCTCTTAGCTTGTCATTACATGTAGAAGACAATGTAGGATCCCAAAATGTGGGATTGTAAATTAGTATAATTTAATGAAAAAAAACAAATGCAGGATAGAAATAGGGGATATGCGCCTTCAGATCAGTAACACCAAAGACGCTAACAGCTAAATGTATATCCATTTACAGATAAGTTCCATATTAAGTCTCTAACTATTCAAACATTTAAGGTATGATCAGGCATTTGTCCACTGACCCCCTTCCTCCTGGTAATCCTCTTGTATTTGTATATCGCAGTTCAAAGCAGCCACGCAGTACTTTTCGGGTGTACTTCTCGCCATGCCCCATTGAGCGGTTAATCCCTCAGACAAAGAGCCCGCGAAGGGCCTTTGAGGGCCCGCGCTCGGAGCCGCTCCCTACAGCTGGGAACCCCGTAATCCTGCGGCGGCTGGCCCTCTGCCGCGCAGACACCACGGTTCACAAAGAGCAGAGCTGCTAATTAGGACAAAGCTAAACACGATGACTTCCTGTGTCCAGATCATTAGACATCACAGGGTGTCAAGAAGAGGGGGGCATGGGAACACTCCTGCTACTGATAGATAGATAGATAGATAGATAAATAGATAGATGGATGGATCCAGCAGCAGAAACACATCCATACAAACAAAGAAATAAATACATGATTATAAAATAATTCTCTATCAATACCGTTACACTGCAGTTGTTCGCATCGTGTCTGTCCATGTGGATGTCTGTCCTGTCGACCTCCGTGAAGTTCAAACTGTGGCATCAAAAGATCCATAGCACCTGGTCTGTGGAGTCTATTGAATATTTGTTGTCATGCCAAGTTAAATAAAAACTAATGGATGATGGACTGCTCATGCTTTCACAGCTCTTCAAAAGAATTATTTTCTCCCCAACTGGTTAAATCCCAGAAACAAGGCGCCAGTTTCCAGGAGTCTCCAGGATACCCCTGGAGACTCCTGACAGTCCTGACTCTCCAGGACACTCCTGACACTCCAGGACACTCCTGACTCTCCAGGACACTCCTGACTCTCCAGGACACTCCTGACTCTCCAGGACACTCCTGACTCTCCAGGACACTCCTGACTCTCCAGGACACTCCTGACTCTCCAGGACACTCCTGACTCTCCAGGACACTCCTGACTCTCCAGGACACTCCTGACTCTCCAGGACACTCCTGACACTCCAGGACACTCCTGACTCTCCAGGACACTCCTGACACTCCAGGACACTCCTGACTCTCCAGGACACTCCTGACTCTCCAGGACACACTCCTGACTCTCCAGGACACTCCTGACTCTCCAGGACACTCCTGACTCTCCAGGACACTCCTGACTCTCCAGGACACTCCTGACTCTCCAGGACACTCCTGACACTCCAGGACACTCCTGACTCTCCAGGACACTCCTGACTCTCCAGGACACTCCTGACACTCCAGGACACTCCTGACACTCCACAGGTGCTGCAGTGTGGCGACCACTGTTCCTCACAGAGGCCCCTGTTTGCGGGATGGATCAAGTGCAGAGGAAATGTCTCTACAGAAACAATAAAGTATATTTAAAACATGAGGCAACAAGCACAAAATAACTACAATGGTTTGGCTAAATTAATACATTTACATTTTTTTCAACAACATAAAAATCTAACAAAAACAAATTGACTTCATCTGGACTAAAATGATAACTTATGTTGGTCAGAATTGTCAAACTGAATACTGCATTATAAAAGGGGGCCACCAGAATCTAAGGGCCTGGTTAGTTTTGTGATGGGAGTGGGACGGCGGCTGCTGTAAAGTGCCAAACTGCTGTTGTATCCTTAGACAAGACACTTTGCCTAGAGCGTGTCTGGTGTGTGTGGTCAGAGGGGCCAATGGCACATACTGGTTGCCTCGCTTCTGTCAGTCTGCCCCAGGGCATTTGTGGCTGAAGTGAAAGAATAATGACATGTGAAGCGTCTTTGAGTGCCCAAAAAAGCGCTATAGAAAAATGATGCATTATAATTATTATTTAAAAACTCTATGTGAGAATATAATCCTAAAACGTCTCAATTGGCAAAACAAACCTACAGACATATGACAGAACAGCGGTTTATAAATTGTTCTTTCCGGATTTACAGGTCCTTAGTCTTAGTCTGACCATTCACTTGGACCTTCACATGATTGGCTTGAGTATTATATTTGTTGTGAATACAGGGCTGAGTGGAGTCCAGCTGTTCTCTGATTAGTCGCAGTTATAATAATTATTCATACCAACTCTATAATGAGAATAATCCACTTAAAGCCTCCGCACTCAGACCCTGACCGCAACACGCCGGACAAACAGCCGCACGCCACTCACATCTCCTTCAGAGGTGAGGGTGTTGGTTATGACCCACGGTTGGTCCTCTCCTCTTGAATGGCTGTATGAAGCTATTGCTTACAAGGGTTCTTTTAATAAGACAAAAATGTAAAGAAGCCAGTACTTCTTATTTATTATCAGAAATGTTTGGGTGGTGGACTTCAGCCTTTGTCAGAGGAGACACGCAATGGTGGGATGTGTGTCAGATCCCTCACACTCAGACAGCCGGTGGAGGTCCTGGGGGGAAGAGTCTGGAGGTGCTGGAGGTGAAGTTGCAGGTGTTGGAGGTGCTGGGGTGAAGGGTAGGGAGGTGAAGGTGCTGCAGGTGAGGGTCCTGGAGGTGAAGGTGCAGGAGGTAGAGGTGAAGATGCTGGAGGTGGAGGTGCTGGAGGTGGAGGTGAAGGGTTTTTGGAGGTGCTGGAGGTAAAGATGCTGGAGGTGCTTGAGGTGAAGGTGGAGGTGCTGAAGTAGCTGGAGTTGCTTAAAGTGAAGGTGCTGAGGTTTCTTTAGGTCCTGGGGTGGAGGTGCTGGAGGTGAAGGTGGAGGTGCTGAAGTTACTGGAGGTCCTGGGGTGGAGGTACTGAGCTGGTCCCCTGTGACTCCGGTTGGATGTTCTACCAAACTGTCTGAAAGGCCTTTGGAGACGGCCACAGCGACCATCTCCTGCGGACGTTCCAACAGTCAACTCCACTCCGTCCTGACCGTGACCGTCTCAGACTGGTCTCCAATATACAATACAAATCGAAAATAAATAGGTCCATTATGCATTGTATATAAAGAATGTTTGTTACAGCTTTAAGTTTAACCTATGTTATATGGGAGACGTTAAAGAGTTGTTATTTTACTGTTACTATAACTATTGTTTGTCACAGTTTAACGGTTATTCTGCCGGCCTCTATTGTCACTTATAAATATGTGAAAGTTGTTTGTGAGTGTCTTAAATAGCCTGCATGTCTTCCACAAACAGCTCAGCAGGATCTCAGGCTCCATGGAAGTGTGAGCGAGAGCATATGTTCAAGGTAGAACAATGGAGCTACTATTATTATAACCGTTAGTGTAAGCTATAGTCATGCTGTAAGTCATAGTCAAGGAAATGTTTTGAAAATCTTCACCCCATTGGAGTTCAACGATGTAACAAAAGCCATCCCACCTCCTAATCAATTAAATATATTTTTTGTATAGCCCTAAATCGCAAAAGTAGTTTTCTGATACTGTCGGCTTTGCCATCACAGATCAGAGAATCAAACCGTTTAAAGCCAGAAAATGCAATGATGAAAAAGAAAAATGTTGTTTAATATCTGGTGTCAATGATCATCACCACTGTCCTTAGACCCTCCTGCATCGGCAAGAAAAGTCTGAAAAGTGAGAACCATCAGGAAGGCCCACATTGAGGGAGGTATCCACTCTCACGGACGGACGCTCTGTAGCTCCAGGCTGTAGAACCCAGACTGAGGCCATGTGATGCCTCGGTCGAACAATTCTCATTAAAAGGTAGCTGTTCTAATGAAAATCGTAAAACTTAGTGAACCGAACAAACCAAGAATCAATCCAGAGGAGAAAGGTGTTATTTTAGGATAAGACGTCTTTTTTTCACAAAATGGATCGGAAATAGGTTTATCCTTAATACATTCGACATAAAACATATCCAGTCAATAGTGAGTCATTCTAACATATAAATATCAATGTTTTTGTTTCCCCTTAAGTTAAATTAAGTATCTCATTGTTGTGTCGTTTTGGCTATTCTTGAGTTAGAATGGCCCGGTACAATTGAGAGTCTGTGAAACGACATGAAAACTGCTGTTTACAAATGCTCTCATCTCGTCTGACAGAGCTTGAGTTGTTTTGTACAGATGTCACGGGTTTAAAATATCTACTGAGAGTCTGGGTGTACATGTGTGACCACGGGAAACCAATATAAAGGTATAAAAAGCGGCTAAAATGATTAAAAATACAAATAAAAACGGCCACAGACCTTGTTGGTCCTCTTTGCCCCGGCCCTCGTCGGTCCAGTCGCTCCTTAACCCCTAGCCAACCTCGGGTCTCCGAGCCACCCACCCACAAGGGAGAGCAGCACTTCCCGGCCTCGATGAGTCCCAAATAATTTGTCCTGTCCCATTTCCAAGCAATACAGAACATTTCATAAAGATCTGAAGAGAGAAAATGTTTTATTGTTCATGGTAGATGAACACAAACAAAGATGTCAAAGAGACCTCCAATCAGCACTTGCCACAGTGCCAGTAGCTTTGGTCTGGAGACAAACCAAAGCGTGCAGTGGAAATGTACCGTCTTGTGCATTGTTTGACTGATGAGTTAAAAACTTCTAAGTGTCATGAAATCTCCTAAGATCAAGTCATAACTTTTATAATTATCTTGCTGAGTAACTAACAAACCGACAAACCCTGGTGATTAGAATTCTATACCCCGCTTCTATACTGTATGTCTATATATGAACAGATCCACCCGAAGATAGATAGATAGATACTTTATTGATCCCTGTAGGAGAAATTCAGGTGTCCAGTAGCAGCAAAAATAAAAAATAGAACGGATCATTCTAAAAAGTTAAATAGTAATAATCAGCAACAGTCCTTCAGGTCACAGAAGAAGGGGTGGTGTAGCCTCTGGGTGGAGCAGGACGGGTCACAGAAGAAGGGGTGGTGTAGCCTCTGGGTGGAGCAGGACGGGTCACAGAAGAAGGGGTGGTGTAGCCTCTGGGTGGAGCAGGACATGCCACAAGGTGGAGTAGCCGCTTGGTTCGGACATATTTTCTCTGCTCTGATATTTAACATGAATCCTCACCGTTCAGTGTAAAACCATGGACACTACTGCAGCAACATCTCAGGTAGAAAAAATCAATAAAAATAAAAATCTAAAAGCACAAAACAACAACTGTTTCAGAGCTACTTAGGACTTGCTGCCGTTTCCCAGCGCATTCAAAAGTAAAAAGTAAGAAGGGAGCCTCGGTCACCGCAGGGAGAGTTCCTGTGTGGTGCAAGAATAACAGCATCTTCGACTGTTACTGGTGGTCTTCGCGGCGAGCAGACTCCGCAGCAGAAGGCCGGCCTGAATTCATGAATAAATTAGAGCGTGGCACGATTTTTAAAGAACAGTCTGCGGAACAATTAGAACTCATTAAGCAGGGAACCCCGGCCAAACCACGCTACGGGCGCCAGCGAGAACCGGGAAGAAGAGGCGGCCATGTTGGATCTGAGTGGGTCTGTTCCTCTGCTATTCTATAACCATCGCAACAACTACTCTACTGCTACTGCTGCTACTGCTGCTACTGCTGCTACTACTGCTACTACTGCTGCTGCTGCTGCTACTGCTGCTGCTACTACTGCTACTGCTCTGCTACTGCTGCTACTGCTGTTACTGCTGCTACTGCTGCTACTGCTGCTACTACTGCTACTGCTGTACTGCTACTGCTGCTGCTACTACTGCTACTGCTGTACTGCTGCTACTGCTGTTACTGCTGCTACTGCGTACTGCTGCTACTGCTGCTACTGCTGCTACTGCTGCTACTGCTGCTACTGCTGCTACTGCTGCTA